GATTACAACTGTACTATCGGTGGTGGGTAATCGCGGGCTGTAGTGGCCTTTGAGTGAGACCTGTTATCTAATATGGTGGTATGGAAGGGGTCTAGATGTATGAAGGTTATCTAACGAAAGTCCTCCGTGACAGTAGTAGTGGTGAGGGGTTTATAATAGTAGCCATTACAGTATCATGCAACGGATTAAAGGACGATCGAGTAGGGTGGTGTTCTTCCGATCCAAAGGCCTTCGGATCCCTGGGGTATGCCTGATTGATGGACGTGCTGGATAAGTTGTCTTGGTTAAAAGGTGGCCTTGATGACATCTGGTGGTTCAATGATGGTGAGGATACGAACGTCCTACCTCCATAACCTTCAATAGAGGGTGCGGAAAGTAGTGGCCACTAAACGTACAATACACTTGTAAAATAATCACCAAATATGGACTGTCCCAAATGTGTGACTATAAAGAGAGTTGACTGTATTTGTTTATTTAAAATTAGAATATTATTATATTTTAATTTTATTAATATTTAATAGTGACACAAAGAAGAGTTTCCAAACCTAGCAAATATGGTAAAGGATTATTTAGGAATCCCAGGTATATCTTTCTGTTCTATTTTATTATCATTAAGTATTATTTTTAATTAATTTTTCTTTATATTTTAGCCACAAGTGTACTTTCGGAAAGAGTATTTTCAAGTGCTGCAGATGTAGTAACATCAGATAGAGCACATCTTGCTCCAGAAATAATACGTGCTATTATATGTTTAAAACATTGATATCGTTCAGGTATTTTAAATTAATAGTATAGGTTTATAGGAGAATCTTTTTAAAAAAAATTATATATGTTAATATGTATTAAAGAATTAAGATTTTATAATAAAATTTACATAGGTTTATTATTAAAGGTGATATATGGTATATATATATATAGTTTTTATAGTTTTTGTAATAAAATAAACATAAATAGTAAATTTCAGTAAATGGCATCAGTAATCAGTAATTACTGACCAGTTTTGGTTATACAGTTTACCGATATTGAAAATTTGGTAAATTACCGATTACTGATACCAAAATTCAATTGTATGACTCAAACTGAAACTGAACCGTTCCAATTGGAACCTAACGGTAACAGTAATTGCTAAAGGCAAATAATTTTTGACTGCTTTTTTTTCCACTAAAGTTCGAATAACTTGAGGACGTTTAAGTTTATCGACATCTAACAATAAGTATGTATGGTTGGAAGAGTCTTTATAACGTCTAACTTTAACTATTTTCAATGAGACTAACCATTTAACTTTAATTTTGGCATGACATAATCCAGATGGTCTTGTATTCATTATTCAGCATTTTTCATTAGAAATATTTTTTTTTTGTCATATACTAGAGTCTCGATGCTTTGTAAAATGGCAGGTAAAAATCTTTTAAAAGTTTCCATTTACTTGTTTATATGAAATCCATTGTGTCCATATATTTGAAACTAATGGCCACCAATTTTCATCGAAATCTTCCATTTGAACTTCTAAAGAGCAATTTACATCAAAAAGGAAATTTAACTTTTCTTCTGAAGTGATATTTATCATTTGCGTGGCAACTAAAGTGGTAGCGGAAGTATTAACCAAAAAGACAGATATGATAACAAAAAAGACAGAAAAAATGTTTTAACTTAATTATTAATTTATAAGTTTAATATTAGTAAAAAGAAAAAGGACTAAATAAAAAAATCTTTTACAAAAAAAAACAAAAAAAAAAATATTTACAATATTTTTTTTGAAATACATGAACTTAATATGAAAATAGTATGATGCTATTCATAAAATGAACAAAAAGACGAAGAAAAAGGTTTACATGATTTGTAAATCCTAAGGCTTGAAAGAAAGAAAGAGCTTGAAAAAAATTTTTTTTTTAAAAAAAATAAATAAATAAACAGCCATGTGGCAGTGCAAATACATGGTATATCATGTGACTCTGCTTTACTTTAAACGTCCCCCCTATATAGTATATATATTACACAAAGTGAACATAGACTTAAATCAAAGCTACACGTATCAAGAAGATCGCTACAGAGCCAGAATTATGGTATTAGAATACAGTTATAATTTTGGTAAAAATTTTAATTTTGGTCACATGATATTATAACAGCTAATCAGAATTTCAGAATAGTTTCGGCATTTTAGAATTAAGTATTTTTCCTAAATTAAAGGTATAGAAAATCATGTGATAATTTATTATAAATCAATCATATGGCAAATCGTAACTCTAATTTTCTGTGTAATATAAACTTTTGTAATACTAAACATAAAAGGATAAAACTTACATGATTAGAAAGCCATGAACTGGGGGAATGTTATTTTGATTTAAAAGTTATTATTATTTAATGACCTTTTTTAAAAACCTTCGTATGAAGTTGCGAATAGGCTTTTTTTTTGCGAATGGGCAAATAGAAATTTTATTTGCTCCCCCAGTTACTGGCATCGACTCATTAAAAGAACATGTAATAGCTTAGTTTTTTTTATTAAAAGCGGTACAATTTTGAAATTTATTTGTAAGTATTTAGTTTTAAATAAAAGTTAAAATATTTTAAAAGAATAATTACTATATTTATTGTATAAAATTATTAATATTTAGTATTATATAAACATTTTACTTTATACGTGTCTAATAATCTCTTTCCTTTCTCCTTCTTCAAGTCTTATTGTAAAGATACTCATTGATAAGGTTCAGACATTTGATGGAAAATAGTAAAGATTTTTTGCTCTATATAGTTAGTCACAGTAAGGTATGTAATATTTTCGTTTACATTCTTGATCAGTTGTATTTTAAACGTTAAACAATTGGTATTTAAAATATACAATTAATAAGATCTTTACTATTCTTTATTCAAATAAATAAATAATTTTTTTATATAACTTGTTTTAAACTTGCTGATATAGAATTTGAAAAATTTATTTAAACAACTTACGCCGATTTTTAGCCAAAACTCTGAATTTTATTCTTAAGTCTTCCTTTATTAAATAAAATATCATGTTTCTGGCTTTGTTACCATCACATCCTACCTGTATCAAATTTGTTATATACAAAAAAAAAAGAGAAAATATATTAAAACACTTACTGCTAACCTATATATATTTATAGATCAGTGGGTTTGAGTTGATTTCTTATCTCATTTCTTCAAAAATTTCATTGATTTTCACTTTCAACTTGCGTCCTTTCTTCTTTTCCATTAAAAAATTTTAATTAAAATAATTTTATACATATTTTGTTAAATTTTATTTAATATCATTTTTTACCTCATTGAACTTTCACTTTCATGCGTATTTTGTATCCAATTTTGCTTTCTTTCTCTTTTCGTCAAAAAATTTCAGTCTGAATCAGATTTTTTTGTTAAATTTCATTATTAAAAATTTTGTTGATTCTCACTTATACGCGTATTTTATATTACTAAATTTTATCTGGCTTTATTCCCTTCCTCTTTTTTATTAAAAAGTTCAATTAGAATCATTCTTCATATTTTTATTAAGATTCATTTAACTTTATTTCTTACCTTTTTTTTGTAAAAAAATTTCATTATTACTTCCCAGTTTCCATATTTTTTACTAAATTAAGAAATACTTCTTTGACTTCAGGTTATTTAAGCTTTTTTTTATGGTTTTAAAAGAACAGGTGGGAATTTTTTAGCAATAAGTGTAATTAAGTAATTTTATATTATGCTTATATAATCAATAAATTGCTATTTTTTATTTATTTATTTGAAATAATATTATCTTTAAATATTAAAAGAACAGACTTATTTTTTTTTAGATTGAAGTTTTTTTTACAATAGTAATATAATTATTGAGTACGTGTCATATTATTATATGTCAGTGAAAGAAAAACTTGATTTGAAACCTGCTTTTATGTGTACTGAGTTTTTGGAACCTCATGTGATCAAAATTATTTGCCAATGCGCGCTTATGAAAAATGATCAATATACACTATACCTTTAATTTTACTATTTCAGTTTCAGCAAATGGTAAAATTCTCTAATTTCAGATGGCAGCTTTAGTGCCAGCTTAAATTTTATTGTCCATTTTAATACTGGCCAGCATTATCATAATTTCAGCTCTGAAAAGTTACTTATTTTAGGCCAAAATCTTGCTGATCATTTATGACCTTCATATGTATTTTTTAGGTCCTCTTAAAGACCTATACAATAAGTATATATTATTAAATGTAATACAATTATTATATTATATATTGTAAACATTAATAAAATTAAGAGATGTTAATAAAATCATTAAGATTCGTTTGTCTTGCATAAATAAAACATTGTTTTAATGCTTCCTTTCTAAGTTTTTTAATGCATTTTATTTCTTCTTTTTTCATATCAAATTTATCATATCCTCTTGTTGCTTTAAATATAAAATCACCTTATCATAATGTTCAATGATCTCACTATGAGTAATGAATGGTAAAGGATCAGAATTTAGTTCTTCTACCTCTTGTTCATGATTATTGGGAAGAACTACTTTTAAAATTTCTTCATTAGATATCATTTCTGCTGTAAGTTCAAATTCATCACATTGAATAAATTCATAAGCAGTTAAAAGATTTTCAAGATTAAGTTTATCAATTAAATTTTGAACTTCTTTCAGCTCATTGTATGTGTTAAAAGAACTTGTATTTCAGCACAGAAATCCATATCAATTCACTTTCATTATTTTTAGGTAAAATATCTGCTTTTAACCAGCAATTTTTAATAGTAGATTGAATAACATTATCCTATATGCATGTGATATATTTGATACACTTTTTAATATTAATTTCAACAGAGTTAATGCCAAATTCATTATAATTATCAAAGGCTTTAACACGATTTCACAATAATAATTTTCAGTATTATGCCTAAAATAAAATAAAATTTTTTATAGTTAATAAAAGGATTTGAAATTACTAAAATATAAGGTATAGATTTGAAGTTAAAGTATGAATTCAACTACTTTGAAACTGTTAATGATCTCTTGATCATATGGCTGAAGGTGTTAAATAGTATTTGGAAGAAGAAATTCAATTTTAATATTAGTTAATTTTGTATTTTTATTGAGAAAATGAGTTGATGCATTATCAACAAGAAAAATGATATTTCAGTTCTGTGCTCTCATTTGAGCATCAAGCCTTTTAATATATGCATTTCAGATCAATACTTGCTTCCAACTTTTTGAATTCCAATAATAATTTACTGGAATAGTAGTTTTGCTAATATTTTTTAGAGCCCAGGGATTTTCATATTTGTGTATGAATAAAAAGCGCAACTTTTCAGTTCCAGTTGCATTACAAGTAAATAAAACCATTATATAATTCTTAGATTATTTCATTTCAGCCACAAGACCATTAGATATGGTATGATTAGATTGTATTTTCCAAAAAAAACCTGTTTCATTACAATTAAAAATATCATTAGAATCATAATTTTTTAGAATTTGGTAAAGATTTTCATACATTATGTCAAGTTTTGCAAGTAGTGCACTTGCCAATTCTTCATGCATATTATATTGTTTAAGATTATGCTATTTTTTAAATTTGTTGATCCATCCATCTGATCCCTTGAATTTTCTTCATAAAAGAATATCATCACTGATAATAAGACCAGCCTAAAGTGCATTTTCCACCCAAAGAGCTAAAGTTTTTTTAATAACAATAAAAGTGAATTTTCTTTCTTATTTCAAATTAGCTTGATATGAATAAAGATCTACAGCAAGCCAACAGTCTTTTGTCTTTAGAATATCACAAATTATCCTTTCACTAACATCATACTAGGACCCCAAATAATATACAGTATATATAGGTCAGATAAAAAATTCAAAATTTACTAAGGTCAATAAGCAAATATTTTTCATATCTGCTAAGCAAACTTTTATCTAACTCATAAATTTTTTACACTGCTAAGCAATTTATTTTATGATATATATATATTTATATATAATTTTTTTTATAAAATATCTAATATTTAAAAAATACTACGACTACCCATATAAATAACTATTTACAAATTATGCAACCGCAGTGCATAACACATATGATGCAATAACAATAAAAATATGTTACAGGCAGTTACGCATCTTTTTACTTTTTTATTTCCTTTTCCTTTCTTCAACAACGAAAAAAGAGAAGCAAATAAAAAAGAACTCACTGCGCGTACCTAAATGGAAAGAGAGTAGAGGTTGAAATGAACGAAAAATGAAACAAAACAAACAAAATAAACAAAAAATGAAAATAAGTCGCACCTTAAAGCTGAAAGAGCTGGACTTAAAATGGAGAGAGTAAAGGTAAGAATGAGCGAAAAGTGAAACAAAACAAATAATACAAATAATACTAAACAAAAAATGCATCTTAAGGTCAAAAAGCTAAAAGAACTGAAACCTAAATGGAGAGGGAAAGGTTAGAACGAACAAAAAATGAAATAAAACAAAACAAAGTGAAACAAGCGAAAACAAAGAAAGACTTATCTGGAATCTCGCATTAAAAAGAGAACTGACCTAAAGAAAAAAAAAGAAAAGGTTAGCAACTGCTTTACCTACCCAGAATCTGATGCTGAAAAGAGGACCAAGCTAAAGAAAATAAAAAGAGAGAGGTTAGAAACTTCTAACGAAAAGGAAATTGAAAGAAAGAGAAAATACGAACCCGATAGAAGAATATCAAATACCGATCTACAAAAAGAGAATACCGAACTGATCTACATACAAAAAAGAAAAGAACCTGATAAAGAATACTGAATACTGACCTACAAAAAAAGAAA